AAACGCAGTGTTTTTCTAACACACACCAACAAATGCACTTCGTTTTTTTTTTTAAATTTACAGTTTTTTGTTTTTTTTCTCACTCATTTCACACGCAAACGAATTTAGTAACACGCGGCATGAGACTGACTGAATTCTCGTCGGAGATTCACAGCTGATTAAACAATGACATTTGTTTATTGTTACAGAAAAGCTTTATAGACCTTAACACCACGCCGGAAAGTGGAAAGTGCTGGGATAGAGGAGGCTATAATCCCTGCTTATTGTCAGGTAGACGCGCATGCGTGGAGGTTTCGATATGACAAACGTTTATGGGAAAATGAACATTCACGCCGAGTGAAATAAGAACTAAAATTCAAATTTTACCTCAGCGCATGCGTGAACTGTTATAGTAAGTCGAAAAACTTTGTTTGTAATTTACAAACAGTAACCAAGGAATTATGTATGCGTTTGTTTTCATATAGATTTAAGGCCACGAACACTTGATGTTATTGTATTTTTCCAGAAGTTTCCACAAATGTTGTCCTGCAAATCTAAAAGACGCATTTTTTTATCGATTTAGTTTAATTTTTCTTAATAAACATAATTATTTTAATTTGTTGTAGACGTTTGAAAAGCTTTGTAAAATGAAATGACTACTTGGGTGGGATTTTGAAGTCCATAAAATGACATGAATATCATGGTATCATAGGCTTAACAGTTTTGGGACTTTCCCTCATATATCCGTAGTGTACAGTAGGATCCGTCCAATATTAGATACCGTTGGATACCGTGCCAATGGTAGGCAGCGGCCTGGCTCTGCCCGTGGCATTGCTGACGTCCATGAGCGACGGTGACCACTTACCATCAGGTGGACCGTGTGCTCGTCTGCCTACAAAGGCAATAAAAATAAAATTGTATCTGACCACACTGCGTTGACTCTGGCGGACATTTCTCTTAAATAACATTACTTTCTATTGACCTAAGTACGAGTAAATGTTAATCTGTTACTTGCTCGTCGGTCAACAGTTGTTGAACTCAGTATCGGATGTAGCGGTGTGAACAAGCAAATGTAAACATCCACAACCTTATAGAATTTTATTACAGCAATTCTTCTAATTTTACAGAGCCGTCTCGTACATCGTAATTAGATACTTTTTTTTTTTTTTTATTGCTTTGGTGGGTGGACGAGCTCACAGCCCACCTGGTGTTAAGTGGTTACTGGAGCCCATAGACATCTACAACGTAAATGCGCCACACACCTTGAGATATAGTTCTAAGGTCTCAGTATTGTCACAACGGCTGCCCCACCCTTCAAACCGAAACGCATTACTGCTTCACGGCAGAAATAGGCGGGCAGAAATCCCCTCTAAGCCTCCTTTTTTTACTTTCCCTACCTATGGTGATAGCCTTGAGAGGCTATTTCAGCTTCTCCTTGACGTTTAAGTGAGCTCACGGGGCTCAAACCGGAGTGTTGCTAGCACTGGCCCTAGCAAGGGCAGTGCTTCGCAGAATATACCACCGGATCGGAAACGCGACCCACTAACAAGATCCGGCGAGAAACTCAGTGGGCTGTGTCTGTTGGTCAATTTACTCGTTGAACCCTTCGTCGCAAGCGACGGGTTCGGCGAGGACGGTGACCGGTGCTTGAGGTATCTAAAAGCGCCGTTAATGGATCGGTAGGATCTGTAATGACGTGTTTAGGACGACGTCGACTGTTTTCCATTCGGTCCACAGGATCGGGTATGTTAAGCTAACGGGAAAGAGATTAATTAGAATGTACATATAGGTTTGCAATTTTAGTTTTTATTTCGTTTACAGCGCAGTTCGTTTTCGCTTATCTACGTAGTTTGCTGAAGAAAGAAACATATATTTCTTTATAAGGTTCATTTATTATTCTAGATGACTATGTCGCCGACATTGTTGAAAATAAAGAACATTGACAACCACTGTCCACCAAACGACAAGACAACCTGAAAACTTTAGGGGACATGACCATTCTTGGACGTTCTGAACCTAGGTTTTCAAAGGCACGTATATGTATGTCGGATATTATGATAGAATACGTTTTCCTTCATTTTAGCAACACTACATAAAAAAATATCACAAGTCAGTTGAAAAAGAAGTCTCAAGGAGAGATTTGAAAAGTTTTTTTTTTTTTTTGTAAATAATTTTTGTTATAAAATATGGTTATAAATATATGATTGTGTAGGTAAATTAAAAATTGAGATTTAAAAAGATAGTTAAAAAGATAATATGATTGTGAAAATCAAAAATTAAAATTCACGAGGAGTTCTTTAATTCTACAACTTTTGGGCGCTCGTCCCATACATTAATATATACATTACTGGACAACGAATGTTTTAAAATAAATCAGTCATTAGTTTCTGTAACTGAATCGTCCCGATGTCAATCGCGCCACATGCGAGGACCGGGCCACGTGCGTTTGTTCAAATACAATGAAAGACCTTGTCGCTCAACTGGAAAAACCCACATATCACAAATATTTTCCGATGCAAATTATTTATACATTCCTCAGTGGTATTTCCAGAAATATAATAGATTACGGGCCTTCGAAATAAAAGCCAGTGTCAATGTTATCGCGCGTGGAGTCTTATCGAGAGGTCGGTTTTGGTGTCTAGTGTAACCATGAACACATAAATACTGTGATATTTGAGGTGAGAATATTCAAACGGTTTGGAATCACATTCGTGTTGGGGGCGTGTCCAGTCATAAAGTTGGCAAAGCAAATAAAATATGCACACCAGTTTTTTACCTTTTTAGGCCTGAACTTATTTTCACATATTTTACAGAAATTGCTAAAGGATTTCTGAAAAAAATAATTAAATAAATACCAAAATCAATGCTAAGCTCACAGCAAAATCATTTTAAATGGTTATTTATAAATTTTATTAACTTAATAAAAACATTATACATGCGCGCTCTAAGACACGTCAGTATAGATCGATACCTAATACCTATAATCAAACTGCGCAATTAGTCGGTATATCGACGCTGCGCACTTTATACGTATTGAGAGACGATTTATCGACGGTTCGCGCTCAAAGGGTTAAGGACACAGTTTTGTCTTACATATAACGACAACACATTCGATTTTACACATCTAACTTCAGCAACGCTAATCTACATGACAATGAAAAAACATGATTACATACATCGGGCGTCTTATACGTAAGATCACGCAACTATCATGTGACTTCCTGTAATTTGAAGCTCTCACTTTTATTTCAATATCATAAATATTATATTAACAGTGCGCTGTTTTTGATTTTTCTTTTTTCCATATTTCGCAACTAGGCCTTTGCCCTCTTATGATTATTCCAACTTATCTCTATTGCGTTCGTTAATTAGGGCGCATGTTAAAAATATATAGCCGAGCAAATATTTTTAAGACTTATCTGTTAAGACACGTTTTATATGGAGCTTCTTGGAAATAAGATAAAGAGTAAATTTATTTTTGTAATTAAACAAATTTACTTTGTTGTTGATGTTTCTTTATTATTTATTATACGTGTTCCGCTTACTCGAAAATCAATAGACGTTGTAAAACAATACAATCCAGTCTATCTATACATTCAAGAACACTAAAAAATTAAAAGGACTTAAGTATAGAAGAGTAATAACATAATTAAAACCAAGAAGGATATTTTTCGTAGTCAATACTATGTCCGGTGGTTTTTAGCCCATTGTTTTTTTTATTGCCTGAGTGGGTAGATCAACATACGGCCCACCCAGTGGTGAGTGATTACCGTTGCTCACTGACACTAGTAATGCTCGGGGCACAGTCAAGTCGCTGCCTACCACCGAGTATTCTCCCCGAGCCTCGTTTGAAGAAAAACGTGTCAAACTGCCCTGCAAACTTTTTTTCTTACCAAAGCTGATAGCCTTGAGAGGCTATTTCAACGTAACCTTAACTAGTAGGTGAGCTCACGGGGCTCAAACCTGACGACGTTGCTAACACGAACCCTAGCAAGAGCCGTGCTTCGCAGAATCTACCACTGGATCGGAAACGCGACCCACTGTGAAGATCCGGCGAGAAACTCAGTGGGCTGTGTCTGTGGGTTAATTTACTCTTCGAGCCCTTCGTCGCAAGCGACGGGTTCGACGAGGACGATGACCAGTGCTTGAGGTACTTAAAGCACCGTTAGTGGATCGGGGGGAAGCCCGGAAACACCGAGAGGCTACTTCATTTAAAGCCGGATCGTACGTGGCCAAAAATATTTGCGGAGATGTACCGCGCCACGTATGACATCAAATACCAAATATAAAATCCTAAAACGTAGACCGGGTGATGTAATATTGACATCATTACTATTCAATAAACGTTCGTATCACAGGTGACCTTTAGATGTAGCTTAGTCTAAATATGTTGCAGCAAGGACATTTGTATACAAGATAATACTATTGTGTTGACGCGCGTTTATAAATAACCAGTGAATTTCTTTTACTGATAGATCATATGAATTTAACGATGGTTAAAATGTGGGTTGGCCATGTAGATCGTTGCTCTTCAAACTTCAATTAAGATAGTTTAAAAAGGGATTTTTATTTATTTTAACAATACACTTCGTGTATATTCGGAACTAATAGCAATCGGTAGCCGCAATTCAGTGGCCATGATAACACAATGTCAAGAATAATTTTTGAAATGTCAAAAACGTCTGTATCAACTTTCATCACAATCGGTTGAATAGTTTAGGGAAACTAGAAAACAAACATATTTACAAAGAAACGTTCAAAGGTAATTCGTCTGATAGATGGTGAACTTAGGTAACCCCTTTTCGTCTATACAATATAATACAATTTCCTATAAAGGCTTAGCCATTAACTACACAGTGACGATGCATAAGAATCTGTCAGTTGCCAGGCTGAGTTGGTGACGTCACGCCGTGATGATGTGGCCGAACCCAACGACCAGACGAAGTGCAGCCACTGTTTTATGTTTACACTGCGGTCGATAACAGGCAACACTTATTATGCTCCAAGATTTACAGTACGTATTGAGTTATCGCATCCTACAAGATATAATTTATCTACTGACTTTCGCCCAAGGTCGGCTGTTTTTGTTCTAAAACTGATTTTTATTCTCGAGCACCTTTGTAAAAGATTTAATTTTTTTAGTGCCTCACATGGACAGACACGATTAGCTTGAAATGAAGTGGCTAAGTAGTCCAAAGACTGTCTTAGACCAACTGCAGATCAAGACAAGACTGTCTACACTCTTTCGCCGCGCACTCGAGTACTTCGGTCATATTGCTCGGAAAACACCCGATAGCTTATTAGAGAGACTATTCGAGACAGGGAAGATCGAGGGAAAGAGATCGCGCGGGCGCACTTCGACAAGGTGGTTGGATCAAATCCGCACCACACTAGAGATCCCATTCCACGAAGCCCTTCATGCTACCAATGATCAGAGGCGCTGGAGGTACATTACAAGGAGTAAAATCCTGTCGAAATATTATGGTCACGACCCTTAGCAGTGACAAACCGACGCGAGGTGGAGTCCAAAGACGTCAGTCAAAGCGTGTCTTTTTTTTCGGCCAGGGGACCGAGTCTCTTATGAGGTGTCCGCACTGGGAGGCACGCGGAGTATGTGGGACTTGACAGTCTCCAGAGGTTGGGAGCAGACCGCGGGACCAAGGTATTAAACAGACTGTCTGTCTGTCCGAAATAGGCAGGGCAGTGAATTAGATATCTGGATAACACTAGCGTAAGCCTAAAAATACTACTAGTAGTATTCACGGCGCTCTCCTTGATAGGTGTATTCGAACTTCTAAGTCTCCAGAGCATGACCTGTTCCGATAAATCACCGTTTTTACAGTGTTACCAAACTCACACACATTAATGGACGAAAACATGCAAATTTCATCCTTATCATCGCTTATTGTATTATTTTATAGTATAGACGATGTTTTCCGCGAATATGATAAAAAAAATATCTATAAATACGCCCAGTATTAAACGCGGTTAATTACCATGCGACAAGCGGCTGATAATAAAAAAATATAATAAATGAAAACATATCAACACAAAATTGATGTATGTGAGAAGTTTGAAATAGTGTATTTCACACTGTAGCATACGTTTAACTGTTCTCGAATGTTTTTTTCAGATTTAGATGGCTCGAGTTCACATCCTCACACCTACTGCTAAATGATCACTGGAGCCAATTAATAGAGGCGGGATGGTGCTATTTAGAAGTCACAGATCACTATAGTGTCACTAATAATTCTAGCCGAAATGAATAGATTGTTATTGTAGGAAATGTTGTTGCATTTTCTCGGATTTAAAGTTAATCACTGAAAGAATTGCGAGGTTGAAGTCGCTCAATATTCGTAGAGCATATGGCCGCTGGGGCAAAACATTTTTTCGAGTGGCAACCGCGTACCGGAAGATGCAGCGTGGGTAGTCCTCCCACAAGGTAGACGGACAACCTGTTGAAGGTCGCCGGAATGCGGCGAGGCTTGGGGATGGCATAAGCAGGTCTAATAAATAGATCTATTGAAAGGCGCTGAACAAAGGAGAAACCCCATTCTGGGCCTAAGCGTTACACGAATGGGATATGTACCAAAAAATTCGTCTATTTTGTTTGATTAACCTATTGAAATCTTAGCTTCATTGACAATGGCCAAGTGTAGAAAATAAGTTGAATTCAATTTTTTGTTTTAAACAATATTTGTAAACATCTGCAACACTTATTTCAATATACGTAACTAGCTCCACAAACGTGTGGGTTAGAATTAGAGCATCCCTAAAATAGGATCGATAAAAAAGTTTTTATTAAAATTAAAATAAGACTGACCTAAAGGTCCTAGTTACCAGGTCATAAAATCTCTTAAAAAATCATTTCGTGCGCAGCGCGTTTCGCATCTACGTTGTTTTTAATTTTTGGCTTCGTTCGTTTTCGTAAACAATCTAATGCACGATTTCTCGTAACAGGTTCCATTTTTATTTTCAAAGCAACCTGTTGCTACAACAGGTTTCGTAAAAAATTACTCATCATTAGTAGGAAACAGCCTTAAAAATATCGTTTTTTATTAAAATATCTCGAACAATAAACATAACCTAAAATGTAAACATTGTCTGATTTTACCAATTTGGCCATTGCTGGGAGACCTGAAAATTGGGCTCATGAAACCTTCTTAGGTATTGTAATTTATGTCCAAATTCTAGCACTGTAACGCCAGGCCCAAGTTTGTATGGATTTCGGGTTTCTCCTTTACACCTTTTTATACTGCACAATATAATATAGTAATCGTTCTTTTTTTAACAAAAGCGAATAAGTGGCTATTACCTAAATGTTTAACATATAAAACAAAACAGTACTCTGTTATGATTACATAATACCAAAATTCTTAAGCAGTGTTTTAATAGTTCATTAAACAACGATATATTTCAAAATGGCGACCGTAAAAATTATGTTTAGTAAATTTTATTTCAACACCGCTGCTCTAAAATATTAATGTCAATATTCGATTAATTGAATTACGTAAATCTTTCATTTTTAGTTCAATTTATATTTTCGCATGAAACGACTCATTACGGATAATTTAAACCGAAATAAAAAACAACTTCAATGCATATACGGTTAATGTTGTTAGATTTACGCTGCGGGCCGCCATATTGTGAACATGGCGACTGGCCAGGGTCAACAGACTTAGTGGTGTAATGTGACATTTGTGCATTTATACGACAGGTCAGTGAGGTTTTATATTAGTTGAACAGATTTGTTTTACAACAAAACAGTTTTAAAAACGCGCCAAAAAATCTATTTAACATTTTTATCGAAGTCGCAACGAAAATTGTAACAATAGTAATCAATATACGTGAGCCACGTAAAATCTTAATTAACATGTTTGATTTGTTTGATAATTTCTCATATGAATTCCAACTATGGTTTAGAAGATAAAACAACCATCAGCGCCACCTATGTGGAATTAATCGGAGTGGTTACGTCGTCCTTTATGTGTAAAATTTTCATATCAATTGGGTTAACAGTTCTCGTGTTTTAGGTGAACATACATACTCTTTTTTATACATACAGATTAATTAGGGTTGCCAGATTTTTTTCAGCGTATAAGGGACAAATGTTTCAATAGGCAAAAAAATACGGGAATTCAGTTTCTTACCCAGGAAAAATAAAAATAAAAATTATATAGTGACATTTTTTTTTATATTTCTCCGAGGAGCAAATCAGTTTTAACATATTTATATAGGTTTCAACATATTTATAAAAATCAATACATTTACAATCATAAAGTTCGAATACGGGACAGAGCCGGGACGTTTTAAACTGAGTCTAAAATACAGGAAGTCCTGGGAAATACGGGACGTCTGGCAACCCTAATACAGATACATGTTTTACGCAATAAACCATGACACGAAGGGTGATGCACAAAGCACAGGAAACAGCCGACCGGACGTCAGGTGCGGCCACAGACCGGCAGTCGATCATCTGGTTAATTGGACACGTAACGACCTCCCTTTCGAGACAATGTAATACAGGTTCGGATAGTTAAGATTGAACTTTACCATAAAAGAATAATGATTACATTTGTCAGTTTCCAATAGGAGATAAGACCTTTTTTGTTAAAGTAGGGTAGGCAGTTAGATAAAGCATGATACGGGTTTTCTTTATATTACAGCCCACTGAGTTTCTCGTCGGATCTGCTCAGTGGGTCGCGTTCGCGATCAGGTGGTAGATTCTGCGAAGCACTGCTCTTGCTAGGGCCAGTATTAGAAACACTCCGGTTTGAGCCCCGTGAGCTCACCTACACGTCAAGGAGAAGCTGAAATAGCCACTCAAGGGTTGTAGATGTCTATGGGCTGCAGTAAACTCTTAAAACTAGATGGGCTGTGAGCTCGTCCACAGATCTAAGCAATAAAAAGGAAAGTACTGTTTATAAAGGATATTTTAAAGTATTTAAGCAGTTTGAATTGTTAAAAAATAAGATTTATTTCACGTTTTGTGCCTCGTTGTACAAACTATGCGAAGATTTAATTATCGTAGACGTATATGGGAATGTACAAGATAATTAGCTTTTTTGTTTCGTTGTTTAGAAGGGACCTTCGAGTTGATGAACGTGTGATGTGCGGTTATTTTTTGTAAAATTATGAAGACCCTTATTTTTAGTATATTACTAGCTGACCCGGCAGACTTCGTAGTGCCTCAATCGATAAATAAAAGACCTAAGATTTTGTATAAAATAAACTTAAAACAAACAAAAGGAATATTTTTATTTAATTCCGATCATTTTCATATTTATCTACCTTTTAAATCTTCTCTGGACTTCCACAAATAGTTCAAGACCAAAATTAGCCAAATCGGTCAAGCCGTTCTCGAGTTTTAGCGAGACTAACGAACAGCAATTCATTTTTATTTATATAGAAGAAGAAGATAGATTTTTATGAAGTACGAGGTAGTGCCCAAACCTCCATAGACACAGCCCACTAAGTTTGTTGCCGGATTTTCTCAGCGGGTCGCGTTTCCGATCCGGTGGTAGATTCTGCTAAGCACTGCTGTTGCTAGGGCTAGTGTTAGCATCATCGCTAGGCTAGAGCCCCGAGAGTTCACCTACAAGTTAGGGTTACGCTGACATAGCCACTCAAGGTAGGAAAAAAAGGCCAAACCATAAACACGTTGGAATGGCAAAGCACTTCCGATAAGAGACGAGATTTTCTAACTAAAACCGATATTTTTTTATCGAAACCACAGTGAAAACGGCCCCATGATGACTCAGCCTTGTCGCTATCTACGAAAATGATTTGAAATAACTAATCATTAAATAATGATTTCCAATTTAATATTCATAATACTGCAGTTAATTTTTGCATAAATCATATTATATATGTTTTATATAACGAATAACATCATTGGTTGTTAATCAATGCGAAACAATTTCGCTGATGGATGGATGGCTATAAACAAAAGCGTGAGTCAGTTATATGCATTTTGTGTTTTAATTAAAACGTCTTCGGCAATTAAGTTTCTAGTTTTAAGCCTAAGTGAAAGTGGCAGTTGAAATAATTAGCAAAAGTTTAATAGACTTTTTTGCGTAATAAATAAATTAAAAATTTCAAGTCGACTCATCATATGGTGTGTAATTACCGGAACCCCGTTCATATACTAGAATTCATGTGATTGACTCGAGAGAATAATTTAATTTAAATGGTTTCAAAGCGGAAGACATGAGAACGCTTCGCTAGAAAAATAGGGTTAAGGGATATTCATTTTGCGTAGGTATATTACATTATTATTATTATCTTATAATGTAATTATATATATTAAATTAAATTTAATACGAAATATAAATATACTATTTTAATATTATAGCATATAAATCATTTATAATATAGACATAATTATTTATAATTTATATTTTTTATGTAATTATAATATACCTAGGTTTTTATGATTAATTTATCTATAGTTTTTAGTGATTTTTTGCATTTTATTTGTAACGATTTGATTAAATTAAATTAAATAAATTAAAAAAAATGCGCAGCTCATACAGCTTATAAAATGGTATCATACATCATTTTATCTAATACCACTACGAAGTTATTGCTATTGAAATGCAAAAAGAGTAAATACGACTAAAAATAAAAAATAAGTCTTAATAAATTCTAATAATAATAAAAAAAATCGGGTGTACATAAATCAAGCTTTATTCACAACAGGTGTTCAAGTTGTCTGCNTAAAGTTCTTATTTTGTTTTTGAAAAAAGTATCATAGATACTTATATTATTTAATGTATTTCTAGTAGTATAGTCTATCAGGAACAAGATGACACCAAAAACACCACAAATTTCATAACTTTGTGGCCGTTGTGCACATGAATGTGAAGTAAAGTAAAAATAACGTATGTTTTTCTAAAAAAAATCATATTTTGGGTATCACTTGGAATTCTTTTTTTTAGATATTTTTTTCTGAGTGCTGGAGAGCTGTCCCGTGCGGGGTTCAAAGATTATCCATTCATTCTGGGACACCCTGTATATGTATTTTGGGCTCTGCGAGTAGACCCTTTAATTCCTTTGACCATTGAGACTGCGTTTACTAAACGTGCCAGCGATACAAAGATTTATACGTTTAGAAATTCATCTATACTTCTATACTAATATTATAAAGAGGAAAGATTTGTATGTTTATTTGTATTGAATAGGCCCCGAAACTACTGAACCGATTTGAAAAATTCTTTCACTGTTTGGAAGCTACACTATTCCCGGGTAACAGACTAATCTTTTTTGAAAAAAATTAGGGATCCTTACTAAAACTCAAATAATGTAACCTAAGGTGTAAAAAAATTTCCTAAAATATTATTTACATCGCGTGCCCTGCGAAAACTATTAATGATAGAATAAAATAATGAAAGAGTTTGTATAATAAAAGAATATAGAGGGAAATACGCATGAATAGTCTTTGAATACGTAATTCACGACACATTCGATTGTAAGCGGTCACGAACGGTCACGCATAGCAAAGTCGCTACTGACCACTAAGTAATTGTTGATATAATTTATTTTATTTCAGTTAACAGAAAATATACGGTAACTAAGTTACGAAATAATTAATTAAAATTATAACACAATAATCAGTTTCATAAGTGGCCTTTTCGTTAAAACTTCTCTCACATTTATTAACACACATTTATAAAGCAAACTGTGCACTAAATACAAGAAATTAATTGTAATTTAATACGAAATATGCTATTTTAATATTATAGCGTATAAATCATTTATAATATATACATAATTATTTATAATTTATATTTTATTACTGTTAGTAGGACGTATTGTGAGTGTGCACGGGTAGGTACCACCACCCTGCCTATTTCTGCCGTGAAGCAATAATGCGTTTCGGTTTGAAGGGCGGGGCAGCCGTTGTACTGTGAAGACAGACCTTAGAACTCATATCTCAAGGTGGGTGGCGGCATTTACGTTGTAGAATATCTATAGGCTCTGGCTACCACGCAACTCCAAGTGGGCCGTGAGCTCGTCCACCCATATAAGCAAAATAAAATTTAATGCAATATCATTAGGTATATTATGTTAATGTACGTACTAGCATGGTCGTCGTTGAGGAGATTGTGGTAGCGGTGCTGTTTTTCGGATGCGTCGAGCCTCATCATGACGCCGGTACCATCACAGCATCGCGACTACCTGCAAAAACCGTCTGCTCATTAAATTCACTAACTAAACTAAACACTAACTAACTAAAATCTATTTTAAAACGAGTGCTTAGGATTTTATTCCTTTCGTCTTTTTAGTTGGGGGCTATTGGAGATTTTATTGAAATTAAAAACCACTAAATTTGTAGTAGCTTAGGCAATGGTCGAACGAACAAACAAACAAACAAACGTTTTGAGCATTTACATTGACATAAGTCACTGACCCTGTCGAAACCAGTATGCGTAGAATTCACGAAATCAAACATATGACCTATATATTATTGAGTAATAACTATGTTTAAATTATAGTTTGTGTGTAACCCGCTTAGACGCTTACAATTTAAGGCGACATAATACCCCCACAAATATATTATTATAGACATGCCTACATATATTTATATATTTAGAAGATGTAACGTAGCGTCTTTCGCCACAAACACAAACCTAGATTAGTTTGTAATAAACAAAATTAGGTTACCGATTCACGATCCATGTCAATTACGTTTATGAAAACATGCTTAAAACAAATGCACTTTACATTAACGCTTTTAAAAGATTACGACAACACTCGTAATGATATTAAGGGGGGCGTTCACGCGGTTCGTTCCTTAACAGTTGCAAATAATAATTTCGTAAGAGCTGGGCTATCGAAAGGCGCTTGTTACAATCGGAATAATTGGCCAAGATCCTACTGTTGTTAAGGGAATTTGTTTTCGAATAGACTGACAAGGAAATTATGAGTTCCAGTATGAAACTCGGGTCGACTAAATTCCGAGCTATAGATATGGAGGACAGAGGAATTTACATTCTGGTGTATATCTGGGTTTGAGAACGCGAGTTCGCCTTCTCATTTAAAGAGTGGCTTTCAACAGCGCACTTTCAGACAGCACGTCTTTTGAGTTTCGTTTCTTTATCCTACCTAAGCTGATAGCGTTGAGAGGCTGTCAGCGTAACCTAACAAGTAGGCGAGCTCACGGGGCTCAAACGTTGCTACCACTAACCCTAGCAAGAGCAGTGCTTCGCGGAATCTATCACCGAATGGGAAACGCGACCCACTGAGAAGATCCGACGAAAAACTCAATGGGCTGTGGCTGTGGGTTAATTTACTCGCCGAGCCTTTCATCGCTAACGACGGGTTCGACTAGAACGATGACCGTACGAGTGAAGATGATGATGAAAACATTAACTTGTATTATAAAATTGTTTCAATTTAAAAATATGTTTTATAAATCACTAGTCTTACGTAAATCTTAGCGCAGATGTTGCACGCGAGAGATCTGGGTATCTGGGTTCAATTTAATTAACATCTCTATATGAAAATTCCGAAACATCCGCACAATTAAATTTATTAATAAAAAAAACGAAACGTGAAATTGCACTTTGAAGACCCGAAAACGAGTCGATAAACATTCTGTTGCTCGAACTCAAATCGCAATCAATTTAGAGTTTCGTAAAAAAGAAAAAGTTTTGCATTAATGAGCGGTTTTATCGCAATCGTCTTTTGCACGGGTCAGTGGCTGTTATTTGAGATATCTACGTGGATATTCGTTGGGATCGAAGGTTGTCTCATGCCACGTGACCTCTCACTACACCGGTAATCAATAATGTTATCACCGCCTTTTTTTTCGGGCCGAACCTTCTACGAGGTCCCCGCGCCTATGGGGCGCGCTGAGTATATGGGACTGGTCCACGACTGCGAAACCGCGGGCCCAAGGATGTTTTCAGGACCCTACCCACTAAACGACTCCCCTGCACTCTTCGCCTAAGCGTCCGATCCCCTCCGAGGTCAGAACCCGGATGAGGTAAGGGGGTTGCCGCGGTCAACACTACAACCAGACGGCGCAGCCCACCCCAAGGACGCCCGACCGACGGAATCTTCGAGGCGAATCGAAGGCTTTCCTTTTTATTCTTTTTGCGTGCACCGGTGAACGAGCTCATGGCCCACCTGGTATTAAGTGATTACCAGAGCCTATTGATATACTAACACCGACATTGAGAAATGAAGTCAGTCTTGTATTCTATAACGGCTTTCCACCCTTCAGCTTTCCCACCCCTAACCAAAATCCAAAATGACGATAATTAACCGTGCGGGTGAGTACCTACCACCAGATAACTATTACTACCAATAACAGCCTGGCCACGGGACATTCGCCGATGCGAATATTCGCGCGGTGCGAACGGCGAAGCGTCTAGCGACTAAAACAAACGCATAGAAATGTACCTAACAAGCCACGCGCCCCGGCGACCGACGAAGCGACCGGCGAAATGTACCGAGCGAATCGCGCGATGCGGCGGGCGAGCAAAACAAATGCATGAATACGGACGGCGCGAGCCACGGAGTCGAGCGGTAGTCGCGGCGAATAGTGCAGTGATTAAATGAGTTTAGTTGTTTTCGCCGCGAAAAATTAACGCCGAAATTTTTATATTTTTTATTTATTTTTTATTTTATATTTTTAAAGTCGTCGTGGCCTAACGGACGTCCGGTGCAATCGTGTTGAGCGATGCACCGGTGTTCGAATATCAGGCGGGTACCAATTTTTGTAATGAAATACGTACTCAACAACACTCAACGTTCACGATTGATTTCCACGGTGAAGGAATAACATCGTGTGATAAAAATGAAATCTTCAAAATAATAATTTGCGTAATTACTGGTGGTAGGACCTCTTGTGAGTCTACACGGGTGGGTACTACCACCCTGCCTATTTCTGCCGTGAAGTAGTAATGCGTTTCGGTTTGAAGGGTGAGGCAGCCATTATAACTATACTTGAGACCTTAGAACTTATATCTCAAGGTGGGTGGCGCATTTACGTTGTGGATGTCTATGGGCTCCAGTAACCACTTAACACAAGGTGGGCTGTGAGCTCGTCCACCCATCTAAGCAATAAAAAAAAAAAATAGCTGAAATACTAGCTAGACCAGCTATTTGGAAGTCTAGCCACCCAAAGTATTTCTCGTACTTCTTGTGGAATTCTCCATCTATAGGTATACTCCGATTCTTATTCAAATCATGTACTTCACAATCTTTTCCAAATAATAGGTCCTGAACCAAAAAACTATTAATTTGTAAGCAATATCGAGATAATTTCGATATAGACATTTCGCTGTCGGACTTCCTACTAGTCGCGGCGGCGAACGTGAGTACCCGTGGCCTGCAAACGGTGCTGCGCGAATGGTCGCCTCGCCCACCGCTTCGCTGTTCGCACCGCCGATCCCCGTGGCCAGGCCGTAAGTATTCAATTATTAGAAACAGCGCTATGGTAGGTAAGAACTTTCCCATATTCTTTAACACTAGGAGTAGGGACCCCGGTAACCGTACTCGTCGAGCTCGGCATGCAAGAGTTCGACATGCAACCCAACCTAAGCATCAGCCCGCTGAGTATGTCCCCGGATTTTCTCAGCGGGTCACGATACCGATCCGGTAGTAGATTCATTCTCGAGTTGTTAAGTCTCCTTTGGAGGCGCTCGGGTAGCTGTTAGCCAATCCCACCTCTTCTGGCTGAGCCCTTGCTGGCCCACCTGCCCTGGTAAAACTGGAAATGTCTATGGAAACTGCAGATGTCTATGAGCGACGCTTAGCACTCACAATCAAGATGGCAGCATATAAATCTCGTAGCAAAGATAAAAACAATTGATTGCGTGTACTTCGATTCGATAGCCAGTAGAACACTAGTTTCGATGAGTTTAATACATACAAAAGTATTTTGTTACATCAGCACTTTACGTTTTTTGCAACATGACATTTTAGACAGTACATACTGTGTTTGAATTTGATAATTTCTCCATTTCTTGATTGAATTAACGTCACACACGTAAGGTACTGTCTAATTGACAATATCATTGGTTGCTAGCCCTCTGATTGACAGTATCATTGGACACGGTTGCGTTTAGGGCGAAGTCCATTTTATGCATATTAAATTATGATTAGGCTCCACTATCACCAACGCTGGAGGCTGCGAAGATGAGATCCGAAGACGTTGCGCCGTGACAAGATCCTCAGTTGAGAGGCTAACAAAGATTTGGAGAGACCGCAGAATAACCAAAAATACAAAAGTTCGGTTAATGAGATGCCTGGTCTTTCCAATCTTTCTGTATGGGGCTGAGACGTGGACGCTGAGGATGCAAGACCGTCGTAAGATCGACGCACTAGAAATGTGGTGTTGGAGACGTCTCCTCAGAATTCCGTGGACCGCGCACCGTACCAACATTTCGATCCTGAAAGAGCTCAACATCAAGGAGAGACTATCGTCAACAGTCCAATTACGAATCCTCAAATTCTTCGGGCACATCACTCGTAATGAGGACTCCATTGAGCGGTTGGTGGTGCAAGGGAAAGTCGAGGGCAAAAGATCTCGCGGACGATCTCCAACACGATGGACCGACCTCATAANAGACGGAGATATTTACGTATATTCATGTTTCATTTTATGTACGCACTGAAATACTGTTATATTGTTTTCCTGCGAGTTAAAGTGCTGAGTAAGAACGAGATAGATATATGTTTATGTGTGTGCCTTCAAAATGGGTGCTATTTATATAAGCAATTGTACGTATAGAACAATATGCCGTGTCCCTACTATATAGGTCTATGTTGCTAGCCCTCTGATTGACAGTATCATTGGACACGGTTGCGTTTAGGGCAAAGTCCATTTTATGCATTTTAAATTATGATATATTTGTCAAGAAAATTAGGATTTTATTTGTATGTAAGCAGCGTCAAACGTCAGAGCAGTATAATGTTATTAGTGAAACCTGATGCTTTAATTCACAAGAAATTTTAATCACGAGAATTCAATTCACATTCGTCACTTACATTGTATTCTTATGTAATTGATATATTCTGTTTCCATGTTGTCACGTTGTATGCTACTATGTTCCTTCACAAGCTCATTAAATGTGGCGGGTAGCCATCATACAATACAAGATATTTGACAGATACCTGAATCTCGCTTACGACATTTTCAAGATGAGATGATGTATCATCTCAAAACA